GGTGGATTCTTCTGCACTTTCTGCTTATGACATCGTGTTGTCTGTGGTTAGAGCTAGTTTTCTTTCCTTCTAATCTGGATGCCTTTTATTTTCTTGTTCTGGCTATGATGTATTTATTTATTTATTTATTTATTTGAGACAGTCTCACTTTTGTCACCCTTGGTAGAGTACCATGGCATTATAACTCATAGCAACAACCTCAAACCCCTGGGCTCAAGCAATCGTCTTGCCTCAGCTTCCCAACTAGCTGGGACTACTGGCTCTCGCTACAATGCCCAGTTATATTTTATTTTATTTTATTTTATTGAGACAGAGTCCCACTATGTGCCCTTGGTAGAGTGCAGTGGCGTCACAGCTCACAGCAACCTTAAACTCTTGGGCTTAAGTGGTTCTCTTGCCTTAGCCTCCCAAGTAGCTGGGACTAGAGGCACCCACCACAACGCCCGGCTATTTTTGTTGTTGTTGTTGCAGTTGTTTTAGCTAGCCTGGTCGGGTTTGAACCCACTGCCTTCAGTGTATGCATTGATTTTTGTATACTGAACTAACCTTGCACTCATGTACCGATCATAGTGCCTCATCTCTTTTGTATGTACATTGGTTTGCTGGTCTTTTTATCCAAGGGGTAGTCGTAGTCACATTTTGTGGGGGAGTTTCTGTGCTTCAGGTAAGTATAGGTTTATGGTTAAGGTGGCAGCTCAAAGCCTTGGCTTTTTTTTTTTTGTAGAGACAGTCTCACTTTATTGCCCTTGGTAGAGTGCGGTGGCATCACACAGTTCACAGCAACCTCCAGTTCCTGGATTTAGGTGATTCTCTTACCTCAGCCTCCCAAGTGGCTGGGACTATAGGTGCCTGCCACAACGCCCAGCTATTTTTTGTTTTTGTTGTTGTTGCAGTTCGACCAGGGCCAGGTGTGAACCCACCACCCTCGGTATATGGGTCCGGCGCCCTACTCACTGAGCCAAAGGTGCTGCCCAAAGTCTTGGCTTTGAATAGAGTTTGTGGTTCCGTGCTCAGAATTACTTCTTCAGGTCCTTCCTCCCTACATGCCTCTCTGAGTCTGACCAGCAGATCTGTGGTATGTGGTAGGTACCCAGGGTGGTACGTAGTGCATGCAGGATGTGGCATAGTTTCTTTGAACCTCTTTGAAAATGGAGACAACAACCCAGCCTGAGAGCCTTCCTTCTTTTTTACCCTGACATCAGTGGGACACCATCAAGTGGGTCAGAGGTGTAGAAAAGGCGGCAGCATCTAACAATTGAATCTGTGGCTGAGTTTCCAGAATTGGAGAAGTTTGGTCTTTCGCTAATTTCTGGGCTCCCAGAGGGAAGTAACGAGAGTCTTTGTGGTTTTCTAACACTTTTTCTGGGGCTTTTAACCTGGGCGTCACAGATGGAGGTCAGAGCATCCAGAAGCTAGATAGGGGGACATTAATTATTTTCACAAACCTTTCAGTGATGTTTGACATTCCCTTCAATTATGAATGTAGGCAACAGATGTCTGTGTTACCAGGAGAAATCACCAATATCTTCATGTCCTATTAACAGTTGTCACAATACAGCCATGGTATCCCATTTATGATCACTATTGCTGTAGAGTTTCTGTATAATTAGGCCTGCTACTAGATCTTGTTATTTAACTCATTAATAAAGCAAATCATATATCACTGTAGTACAAACCTGTTATTTTAATATGCTGATACTTATATTTCATTATAATGGCTTAGGAAGGTAGGCAGAGGAAGTGAGGGTAGACGGACCCTAAGAAGAGAAAGGAAGAGCAAGAGCTGGGTGTGGTGGCTCACACCTGTAATCCCAGCACTCTGAGGCTGGTGGATCCCTTGAGTTCACAAGTTTGAGACCAGCCTGAGCTAGAGACTCCACCTCTAAAAATAGCTGGACCTTATGGGCGGGCACCTGTAATCCCAGCTTCTGGGGCGGCTGAGGCAAGAGAATCGTTTGAGCCCAGGAGTCTGAGGTTGCTGTGAGCTATGACAGTACAGCACTTTACAGGGGCTGACAAAGTGAGACTCTGTCTCAAAAAAAAAAAAAAAGGAAGAAAGAAAAGGCAGGGAGGACCTCAAGGAGCCAGGAACAGGTGAGATAGGTGGGCAGGGGAATGCTGGGCAGGATAGCTGTGGGCTTATGTATCTATTTAAAAATACCAGCAGTTGGCGGTGCCTGTAGCTCAGTGGGTAAGGCGCTGGCCACATACACCTAGGCTGGCAGGTTCAAGCCCAGCCTGGGCCAGCTAAACAGCAGTGACAACTGCAACAAAAAAATAGCTGGGCATTGTGGCCAGCACCTATAGTCCCAGCTACTTGGAAGACTGAGTCAAGAGAATCGCTTAAGCCCAAGAGTTGGAGGTTGCTGTGAGCTGTCATGTCTCGGCACTCTACTAGTGACGCTCTGTCTCAAAAAAAAAAAAAAAATACCAGCAGCTCTGTGTACTATTTGATAGTGTGTATTACTTAATTATCCATAATACAAGGTGGACATAAAGTTCATGTGCAGTTTACTATATTAAATTATTTTAAAATTGCACATGAACTTTATGTCTACATTGTATATGTCCTTCCATATGAAAACATTTTTCAAACTTAATAATGGCATTTTAAAAAGGTAGAAATCACAAAAGTAATACATAATTGTAGTAAAGATAGGAAACATTGACTAGGTAAGTAAAGTATCAGATGATATCCGCATCAGTGGCTATACCTCTTAATTTTTTTTTTTTTTTTTTTTTTTAGACAAAAGAGTCTTACTCTGTTGCCCTGGGTAGAGTGCTGTGGTACCATCTTAGCTAATAGCAACCTCAAATTCTTAGGCTCAAGCCATCCTCCTGCCACAGCCTCCTGAGTAGTTGGGCCTGCCGTAGCACCTGGCTAGTTTTTCTGTATTTTTAGTAGTGTGTGGGGGGGGTCTTACTCTTGCTCAGGCTGGCCTTGAACTCCTGAGCTCAAAGAGCGCCTGGCTTGACTTTTTTTCTTTCTTTCTTTTTTTTTTTTTTTTAAAAAGAAAAAAGACTTTTAAAAGACTTTAAAGACTGCTCTCTCAGTCTGTCACCCAGGCTGGAGTGTAGTGCTGTCATCATAGCTCACTATAGCCTTAAATTCCTGGGCTTGAGCATCATTCTGTCTCAGCCTCAGAATAGCTGGGACCATGCCCAGTCCTCTCCCATCCTTTAGGATCAGAAGCTGTAGCTGTAAGTGGAATTGCTATGTCGAGGACAAGCCCATCTTTTATGATTTTTGTTGCTTATTGGAAAGCTGCCCACCAAGATCTCACTATCTCTTAGTTCCACCAGCAGTGCTACACCTGCTGCCCCAAATTCTTTCCAACATTTTATATATATGTACACACACACACACAGATATGTTTTTTTTTGTTTGTTTGGTTTTTTTTTTTTTGCTGTTTCTGGCCAGGGTTGGGTTTGAACCCGCCACCTCCAGCATATGGGGCTGGCACCCTACTCCTTTGAGCCACAGGCACCGCCCAGTATTTTTATTATTTTTTTTAAAGAGATGGGGTCTTGGTCTAGCTCAGGCTGGTCTCAAACTCGTGAGCTCAGGTGATCTGCCCACCTTGGCCTCCCAGAGTGCTGGGATCACAGGTGTGAACCACCGTACCTGGCCCCAACATTTTATATTTTTATTATTTTTTCTCTTTGTCAATTTGACACGCTATCATGTTTTAATTTGCATTTCTCTGGTTTATTGGGTGGTTACATGGTTTTGTTTGTTTTTGGCTCTTGGTTGGTTTTCTTTAAGGAATCCCCTTTGTGTTCTGGGCAGCATAATTTGGGGGGCCTGGCCAGATGCAAATGTAAACCATGAAGCCTTTTTTTTTTTTTTTTTTTTTGAGACAGAGCCTCAAGCTGTCCCCCTGGGTAGAGTGCCGTGGCATTACAGCTCACAGCAACCTCCAACTCCTGGGCTCAAGCGAGTCTCCTGCCTCCGCCTCCCAAGTAGCTGGGACCACAGGCGCCCGCCACAACGCCCGGCCATTTTTTTTTTGGTTGCAGCCGTCGTTGTTTGGCGGGTCCGGGCTGGGGATTCGAACCCGCCACCTTAGGTGTACGTGGCTGGCGCCTTAGCCGGTTGAGCTATAGGTGCCGAGCCCATGAAGCCTTTACATGGAAGACATTTACAGATCTGGGCCTGTGAGCATCCCTTAGCCTGGCCCCAGGGTTAGATGAGAAATAGCTCAGAACTGATTTGTGGGCAGAACAGATGGAGACAGTGGTTGTCCTGTGTGGTGGCACTGGCTTTGTTCAACCCCTGAGGGATGGAAGCTGGATCAGTTTGTGCTGTGGTCCTGTTCTATCAGGGCCATCAGCCACTGGTGAGTCTTCTCAGTGCTGATGGGCCACTGGGTGACAGGTATCTCTGGTGATGAGTGGATCCAGAGGTCTTGGTGTCCAGTCTGCTGGTGAATTTGATGACTTCGTGTAGCAAAAGCCAGTACCAGAAGTGGCCAGATGTAGAAGAGGGTCCCTGGCTGAGGCCTGAGTCTGTTCTTCTTTAACCCCTTGACTCTTAAGCTATGTAACTGAGAAGAGGGCTGTCCTAGGCTCAGAGCTGTTTACCGTGTCCCTGCACATGTCTGGGACCATGTTTAGGTACTATAGGTCCAGCAGTGAGTGAAAGAGGACCCCTTGCTCTTGGGGCCCCTGTTCTGTTGGGTGCTGTTGGCTGAATGACAGGTGTATGTGCTGAACACGTCCTCCAGTAGTGTGTCATGTGAAAGCTGTAGGAGGAGAGGGACATGGTGTTCTAGAGTTATGGGGGGATTTGCTGAGCAGGTTTGCTTGAGACAGCTATGGAGTGCACACCTGGGAGTGGTCAGCCACCTACATGTGACCATTGCTGCATTGCAGAGGGACCCCGGGCTACCGACACTTAAGCCATGATGTCCTGATGCATGGTCACCAACTTTGTGCCACCACAGTTGTCAGTGGAGTGCTTGTCTGAAATATGAACTTTCTTCTCTCCCTCTTCTCAGCCAGGGCCAATTCATTCGTGGGAACAGCACAGTACGTTTCTCCAGAGCTGCTCACAGAGAAATCAGCTTGTAAAAGGTAACCTGCTTTTTATCTGGCCGTACTTCTCTCTTTTCTTTAAAATAGCTAGTAAGTTTTATCATGAGAAATTAATATTTGAGAGTGTTGGCTACGGGGTGTGGTGGTTCATGTCTGTAATCCTAGCACTCTGGGAGGCCAACATGGGTGGATCATGTGAGCTCACAAGTTCACAAGCAGCCTGAGCTAGAGCAAGACCCTGTCTCAAAAAATAGCTGGGCCTTGTGTTGAGTATAGTTCTAGCTACTTGGGAGGCTGAGGCAAGAGGATTACTTGAGCCCAAGAGTTTGAGGTTGCTGTGAGCTATGATGCCATGGCACTCTATCAAGGGTGACAGAGTAAGACTTGTCTCCAAAAAAATAAAAAAGGAGAATGTCTTTGTGGCCTTGGAGTAGCTAAACACTTTTGAATGAATTTCGTGTTTTACTTTTAAACTGTATTTTTCCTTAGATACACATACTTTCTACTTTATTGTTATATTTTACACTTTTGGGGTTGGTTAATGCTTTTTGGTTTCAGAGTTGATCTTGCTTGTTTAGTAAAAAGTAAAAACTATTAAGGGGGGAAAGTGCATCTGTCCTTGGGGAGCCTGTGCAGCCACCGCTGCTGTGTGGAGCTAGGGTCTGCAGAGAGCAGGGAGGCTCCAAGCGCCATGGATGTGGGAAAAGGATGGAGGAGGCCTCTGGTAGGCATGAGGGTGTTTGAGATGTATAGCTGGGCCTTAGAGGTAGCTTTAGTAGTGAAAATGAGGGCACGTAGGGCTGGCTTGGGTCCAGGATGGGGAGAATGGAGATGGGGCAGCAGAGGCAAGGAGTTGGGGCACCTGATGGCTGGGTTTGGAGAAGTGAAGGCTCTCATCTTGGGTGGATATGAAGCAGGTGACATCAGAATTTGGGTTTCACCTGCCGGGCCCAGTGGCTCATGCCTGTAATCCTAGCACTTGGGAAGGCTGAGGTGGGTGGATTGCCTGAGCTCACCGGTTCGAGACCAGCCTGAGCCAGAGCAAGACGTCATTTCTAAAAATAGCTGGGCATTGTGATGGGGACCTGTATTCCCAGCTGCTTGGGAGAATGAGGCAAGAGAATTGCTTGAGCCCAAGCATTTGAGGTTGCTATGAACTATGATGCCGTGGCACTCAAGCAAGGGTGACAAAGGTAGACTCTGTCTCAAAAAAAAAAAAAGAATTTGAGTTTCATAGGTGGGGCGTGGTTCTCTGGAATGAAGGTGTGGCTGTGGCCCTCTTGTGAGGTGACACTCAGCACTGTTGACCTCCTGCTCTGACAGGTTATGGCAGGCCTGCCTTCCTGTAATGACACAAGTAATCCTGCAAGGATGAATAAGTGAATGAGTGAGTGAATGATGGTGGGAATGGTAGTTCTGGGTTTACCAGCTTGACAGCATTAAAAAAAAAACCTGCTGGATGGCAGGATAGAGCTCTGCAGCATTAAAAAAAACCTGCTGGAGGGTGATGCCTATGGCTCAAGGAGTAGGGTGCCAGCCCCATATACTGGGGGTAGGAGGTTCGAGTCTGGCCCTGGCCAAAAAAAAAAAAAAAAACACAAAACCTACCAGATGGCAGGATGGAGCTCTGCAGAGTTAAATTGGGCATTTTAGTGGTCTCTGGGCTCCCCCCCCTCAACCTTATTAAGTCAATAGTTATTGAGTCCCCCTTTTTTTTTTTTTGAGACAAAGTCTCACTTTTTTGCCCTCGGTAGAGTTCTGTGGTGTCACAGCTCACAGCAACCTTAAACTCTTGGGCCCAAGCGATTCTCCTGCCTCAGCCTCCCAAGTAGCTGGGACTATAGGCACCCACCACAACACCCAGCTATTTTTTTTGTTGCTGTTGTCATTGTTGAACCCGCCAGCCTCAGTGTATAGTTATTGAGTTCTTACCATGGGCCAGACCCTGTTCTAGGTCAGAGCTTCCCAACTGGAGTGATTTTGCCCTGTAGGGGATGTTTGTCCATATCTGGACACAGTTTTGGTGTCCCTACTGGGGGTGGGAGTTTGGTGAACAGCAGCCTGAGGTGGCCAGGAAGTTCTTCTCAGCATCCTATGCCATAGGGCAAGCAGCTCCACATCCACAGTGTGAGGGGAGATTTCTTCCTCCAGGTAATGGGTGCGGTTTACCAGGTTTCCAAAGTGTGTGTTGTTACACCTAAGAGCTAGCTTTCCCTGGCTTGGAGATTTTATTTTTAAGGTGGAGAAAGTCTTTAACATTGATATGGGAAGATCTCCAGGCTCTCCTAACGCCTGCCTGGGGTCCTACTTCTGTGTGAAAAGCAAGGAATGTGCATTCACATTTGCTCATTTGTGCATTTCAGGTTCTGTGGAGGAATCCTCAGGACATGGAGAACTATAGTGGTTGCCTCTGGGAGTGAGCAGGGTTCTGAGGGAGGCACTGCTATGTCTTCTTATACTTTTAAATTTTTATATAATGACATATTCATTAAAAATAGTTTAAGACCTTTTTTTCTGATTTTAAAATCAATACCTATGTGTTATAAGGATGGAGATTAAGTCTCCAAACCCACTTATATCACAAGTGGTGATTTGGTATACATGTGTGTTCTACGTACTCTAAATAATGTTTATATGATTTTTACACAATTGGAGTCAGATTGGACAGCCAATTTGAATCCTATACCACTGTGAATTTCAGAAGGTGGCATGGCTTGGTCTAACTGAGCATTAAAAAATTCCTTTGTACATACTACTTTACAGAAACATCATATTGGCTTCCCCTTTAATTAATTAATTAATTTAGAGACAGGTTCTCGTTTCATCACCCAGTGCAGAGTGAAGCAGCATTATTATATCTTACTGCAACCTCAAACTCCTGGACTCAAAAGATTCTTTTGCCTTTGGGCTCCTCCCCACACCCACCACCAAGTGGCTGGGACTATAGATGTGTACTAGGGTTACAGGGTTGAGCATCTTGCCCTTTTGTTTTTTATTGTATTTACAAAATTAAATTTTTTTCCTTTTTCTTTTTTTGAGACAGAGTCTTAGTCGCCCTCCCTGGGTAGAGTGCCATGGCATCGTTCATAGCTCACAGAGACTTCAAACTCTTGGGCTCAAGTGATCCTTTTGTTTCAGCCTCCTGAGTAGCTGGTACTATAGGCACCTGCAGCAACACCCAGCCAGTTTTCCTGTTTTTAGTAGAGACGGGGTCTCGCTTTGCTCAGGTGGGTCTGGAACTCCTGAACTCAGGTGATCCACCCACCTTGGCCTCCTAGAGTGCTGGGATTACAGGTGTGAACTACTAAGCCCGGCCCAAAACTTAAGTTCTAAGACATATGTTCATGATAAAACATTCAATATCTTTTGACTACCCGAAAGCCCTTTCTGCTTGAATTCCATACCCTAGGATGATCCTATTGAGCAACTGCCATCTGTCTCGGCTTCCACACTGAAAAGTGGATGTTTTTCTGCCCGCTTTCTTGTGTTCTTCCCCATTTTAACTAACAGTAAGGAAAAACCAATGTAAAAGATACAGTTATGTCCTTAACTATTAGGATATATCGTGAGAAACACGTTGTTAGGCAATCTCATCATTTTGTGAACATCATGGGGTGTCCTTGCACACACTTGTGTGGTTCAGCCTACCTACCTGTGCTGCAGCACATTACTGTACTGAACTCTACTGAACTCTACAGGCAATTGTGACACAGTATGAAGTACTTGCTTGTCTAACACAGGTAAACATAGAAAAGGCATAGTAAAAAATACGGCATTATGATCTTATGGGGCTTCCATTGTGCACAGTCTGCTGTTGACTTGCAGTATTTATTTATTATTTATGCCCATTTATTACATGCCCTTCACTTTGTATCTGTGTGTTGTGACTTAGATTTCTGTGTTGCATTTTTTATTTTTATTTTTAGAGACAGTGTCTTACTTTGTTGCCCTTGGTAAAGTGCTATGTCGTCACAGCTCACAGCAACCTCCAGCTCTAGGGCTTAGGCAATTCTCTTGCCTCAGTTTCCCAAGTAGCTGGGACTACAGGCACTGACCACAATGCCTGGCTATTTTTTTGTTGCGGTTTGGCCGGGGCCGGGTTCGAACCTGCCACCCTCAGTATATGGGGCCCGTGCCCTACTCACTGAGCCATAGGCACCGCCCTCTATGTTGCATTTTTAAGCCCCTATCAAGTTCCTTACCTGTGCCAGACCAGGTGGGCAAGGATAGAGCCTTCCCCTAAGGTCCCTGGCTCTTGGTTGGCCTTTAGTCTAAAGTGGTGGTTTTTACCCACACCCTGCGATTTCACCCTCCAGAAGGCTGGGCTGTGGTCTCTTTCAGAAACTGTGTAGCTGTCCCTGAGGCCTGTACATGCCTTGTGCTGAAAGAGGAGGTGGAAGTGGAAGGCAGGCCATTGGGGAGCAGCACAAGAACATTGCCAAGTGCCAGTGTACCTTTTACATTAGTTTTTCCTTACGGTTAGTTAAAATGGGGAGCAACACAAGAGTAGGCAGAAAAGTGGGAGAGTAGCTGTCTCAAGTGACCTAAGCTGGTGGAGGGTGTGAGTATGAGTGAGGGCAGAGCTGGGGCATCGGATGAGGGCAGATTTCAAGGGCAGGCACTTGGGAAACCTAGCTGTGTTCTGGATATAACTTAAAGAAATTTACAACTATAGTGTTTTTCTTTTAAAATGGATAATTAAAATGTTTGCGAAGGAGGGGCAGGACTTTTTCCAGCTGAATCCAAGAAGGAAGAGACCAAACCTGCTTTGTGCACGGCTATGGATGTTCTCCTTTGGCTCCTTGGTGCGTGCGGGTTTGCACCTACCCTGGGCTGAGCACTGAGTTGGTTAGGGGAGAACTATATTTTGTCTGAGTAGCACCATCTTGCCATCAGCTTTCCCTGTCATTTTGCTGGGAACGGTATCAGCCCCTTCTTTTAACTCTCTGTGCCCTGCCCAGTCTGCAGGAGTGTGGTGCTAGGAGTGAGCTCTGCTGTGTTTTTGTGTGAGCCAGGTGTGTGGAAGCAGTAACCCTGGCTCACTGTGGCAGAGCTTCAGGGCAGCTGAACAGCTGATGGGCAGTGCCTGCCCTGTGCACATCATCTTTGCCCAGGCCCTAGGGAGGCTTCCCCAGAGAGCAGGTGCCTGCCCTCATGCTAACCTGGTCTGCAAGGACAAAGGACTTAGGAGATGGTGCTGTAGTGGTACAGATAGAGTGGAAAGGTCTGTCTGTCATTTAGGTTTTACAAATGTCATTCTTCTTTGTTTTTTCCCTACCTTAAAGTTCAGACCTTTGGGCTCTTGGATGCATAATATACCAGCTTGTGGCAGGACTCCCACCATTCCGAGCCGGGTAAGGAGATGGTGTTTCCTGGGCCTCTGAGCCCATCATGGTGCAACCCAGTGGATTGCCATGCTGCCTCCCTGACAGAGGCTGTGCCTATTAGGGGAGGGACTTTGATTGCCACTCATGAGTTCATGGCCTGGTGGTTTGTGGCTGTGTCTGGCAAGGGGAGGGTACTGTACTGTCCTTGTATGTGGAAGTTTGTAGGACCTTGCCTAGAGTAACTTTTTTTTTAAAATTTTACAGAAATGAATATCTTATATTTCAGAAGATCATTAAATTGGAATATGACTTTCCAGAGAAATTCTTCCCTAAGGCAAGAGACCTTGTGGAAAAACTTTTGGTAAATATTTTTAATTTCCTTCTCCAATAGCTGTGTTGGAGTCCCTCTGAACCTGTGCTCACAGCATCTTTCCTGGAGGCAACTCAGTTTAAGAAAATAATAGTTTTAGAGATAATAATGATTTTATCATTATAAGTCCCTTTCAATTTCCTAATGTCTTTTTTTTAATTAATTTATTTGTTTTTATTTATTTTTTTTGTAGAGACAGAGTTTCACTTTATTGCCCACAGTAGAGTGCCATAGCGTCACACAGCTCACAGTAACCTCCAACTCCTGGTCTTAGGTGATTCCCTTGCCTCAGCTTCCTGAGGCACCTGCTACAACGCCTGGCTATTTTTTTGTTGCAGTTTGGCTGGGGTCGGGTTTGAACCTACCACCCTTGGTATATATGGGGCTGGTGCCCTGCCCACTGAGTCATAGGCGCCACCCTAATGTCTGATTCTTGACAGGAAATTGCTATGTCAGGAATTTTAAAATTAAACTAATACAAATAAGACTGGGAGCTACTGTATCATTTTGCATTTGCTCATCAACGTAACATTTTAGGTTGCTGGTGCAAGAGGAGCTGGGTATATTCCAGTGGCAGACACTGTAAATCCTACTTTATTGACTTCTATAAAGGCCAGTTGTGGTGTGAGCTACTTGAAAATTTTAAAGATCAACCCAGGTAATACAGCAAAGAGACAGATTTACCTGGGGAAGATGTGTCAGCCTAAGTTCTATTTTTTTTTTTTTTAAAGTCTCACTTTGTCACCTTTGGTGGAGTGCCATGGCGTCATAGCTCACTCAACCTCAAACTCCTGGGCTCAAGAGATCCTCTTGGCTGAACCTCCCTAGTAGCTGGGATTATAGGTGCCCACTACAGCACCCAGCTAGTTTTAGAGACAAAATATTACTCTGGCTCAGGTTGGTCTTCAATTCCTGAGCTCAAGCAATTGACTGGCCTTGGCCTCCCAGAGTTAACTTGTGTTCTAGAAACAGAGGTGTTCTAGTGCTGCTGTGCTTCCCTCCTTACCTTGATGTTTTGGGATTGATGTCAGCCCTGCCTGCCTTGCTTGGTCCCAGGGTTAGGCATCAGCATGGCCTGCTGAGAAAGCAGCACAGTCTGCCTCTCCCATTTGTCCTGCCTGTCTTTTTCCCTCTCTTGAGGGCTGAGGTGTGGTCCTCTTGAGGGTGAAAGTGGTGTGGCCCAGTCCCTAGGGGAGATGGCTCTGCAGTCCTCCAGTTAGACCCAGGGTCTGTGAAGGCCTGCTGTCTAGAGTAACTGTTCATTCTTTCTGTTATTAAAGCAAGTCAGTTCATTGTTTCCTAGCTTTATGCTCTGTTTTTACAAGTATACTTCATGCTGTTTTGAGGTTGAGATTCATTTTCACCTGTGAGAGAAATGGGGCAGTGCCTTTAGAGCTGCCACAGGACCCTGGAATGTGCCTCAGTTGTGTATGGTGCTTCATGGGGGAAGTGGGCTTGATCCTTCCAGGAGATACTGAGAATTGAAAAGAATCACTTGAAAGAATAACTCTTTGTCAGAATTATGTTTTCACCCTGACAAAGAGTTGTCTTGTCTATTATTCAAGGTTTTAGATGCCACAAAGCGATTAGGCTGTGAAGAAATGGAAGGGTATGCACCTCTTAAAGCTCATCCATTTTTTGAGTCCATAACATGGGAGAACCTACACCAGCAGACTCCACCCAAGCTCACGGCTTACTTACCAGCCATGTCGGAAGATGACGAGGACTGCTATGGCAACGTAAGCTGGCTTGGCATGGGGTGGCCCAGGCAGAGATGAGTTCTGCTGCTCATTTTTTGCCAGCAGGTTCTGCAGTACATGCTTGCACCTGTGCCCCATGCCTGATGAGCAGCTGGGAGGGGGAAGATGAGATGATCTCGTAGACCTATTGGGGGTTGAACATTTTGCTGCGGTGAGATGGTGGTTGGTGAGATGCCTTGGGTGGACCAGTTCCTTTTCCTTATTTCCTCAGCTCTGAGTAGTGAGTTTACATCTGGAGGGGATAGCTGGAGCCAAGGGAGTAGTGCCTTGCACTTACCGTACTCCCCCCCCACCCCTGGGCAGAGCCTCCTGTTGGGCTTATCTACAGCTGCTTCGAGCCTGGTGCCTCTGTAACTGTGTGTTTGGGACAGTCCAGAATGCTGCTTACCTTTTCAAGAGAAATCCGGAATGCTGCCTTTTTGAACCTTTGGGGTAGGTGGGCACTGGTCACTGACTGTGTTGGTCCAGGAGCAGGGGCCATGCAGCACCAGGTCTGTGGGATGCTGCCAACACTGACTTTGAGGCTGATTGTCTCCCAAGACTTGATGTAGACATATGGTCTTAAGTGCACTTTATTCTTTAAAATTTTTGTTATGGAGATGTGAACCATATCCAGAAGGGACAAAGGTTGTCTTAAATGGCAACGGCAGCTATTTCTAGGCTCATTCCATCTGAGCTGCTCTCACCGTCCTCCATCTCCCCCCCTCCCCACCCCAGTTTTTTTTTTTTTTTTTTTTTTTTTGAGACAGAGCCTCAAGCTGTCCCCCTCAGTAGAGTGCTGTGGCATCACAGCTCACAGCAACTTCCAACTCCTGGGGTCAAGCGAGTCTCCTGCCTCAGCCTCCCAAGTAGCTGGGACCACAGGTGCCCACCACAACGCCCGGCTATTTTTTGGTTGCAGCCATCATTGTTATTTGGCAGGCCCGGGCTGGATTCGGACCCGCCACCTTAGGTGTATGTGGCTGGTGCCTTAGCCACTTGAGTCACAGGCACCGAGCCACCCCACTCCAGTTTTGAATGTGATTTGCCATTGTCGTTGGCATCTATTTTTCTGGTTTGACTTCTGTCCCTGTAGCTTTTTCTAACTATTTACCATGTATGGAGCTCTACTTTAGATAACTGGAGAATTCTAGATTTTATCTGAGTTACCCAGAGCTAAATTAGAATTACTACTGGTGTTATTGCTTGGAGATCAAGCGTTCCCTATGTCTTCTGCCTGCTGTACAGCATTCCACCCTCATCCTAGGCCCTTTGTGCCCAAACTTAAAGGGAGCCGGTCCTGAGGAGCAGCCTGTTCCACCCTGCTGACATCCCAGCATGTGCCCCCGCCACTAGTGCTGTCTGTGGACTCGGCCCCAGGACCCTTCCCTATATACCAGTCTGGATGGCCTGGTCATGCAGGAGCTGGCAGGAGCTACTGTTTCTATAGAAGTTGTACCTGGGAGTGGCAGGTAGCAAATTAGTTCATGGGCTTCACACCCTATTGCTAAATGCTCCTCAGAGATAGCTGAGCACTGAAGGAGTTTTGTAGGCTCCCAAAGCTTCTCAAGCACCTAAAGCTTCTCTTCACATAGGGGTGTGAGTGTCCCTCAAGTCCCCGTGTCTGTGCCTGTTGAGAACTCTGGCTTCTTGATACTCAGTCTTTGGTTGCCGTCTATGAAATTGGGCTCCATATGGTACCAGCTTACTTTTTGTTAGATGGCTCATCATCAGCTTTTCAAAGCTGTGTGGTTTGAAAGCCTTGGAGAGTATCCAGGCAGAGAGCTCCCATGCCAAACCCACATTCAGATGGTTAGTGAGTCTGAGAAAAGACATCAGCCTGGAGAGGTGTCACATACACACAGAGGAAACCTTGTGCTGCTCCCTCAGTGGGGGCCGTGGACAAACATGTCTTGGAAGGGACAGTTTCCTCTGAGAGGCTCTGAGAATTGGTTGCCCCTTTCAGCAGGGGCTTCTGCCTATTGGGAGGGGCTGGTGGTTGTCATTCAGTCTTGATTCAGGGTATGAAGAGAACAGGCACTTCATTTTCTCCACTTTTCCTCATTTCCTGCTGATTGCCAATGGCGATATTTGTCGCTGGATTCAGAACTGTTGTAGATGAGTGACCAGGCTGAGGCTGGTTCACCTTAAAGGAGAGGTCATTGTGGGTGCTCCTTCCCTATCTGCTGGCAAGCACTTCATCCAGCCTGGTGTCCCCCTTGTCCCCATGTTCTTCCTAGGCCTAGGTTTATACCTGGTGCTGCTGAGAGGAGAGGATGGAGAGTATCTGAGGCTCCTCATGGAGGACAATACAGTGAAGCCTCCAAGAGGGAGGAATGGGCAGAGATGCAAAAGGCTGGCTCTGAGTTCAGTGTTGGCCAGCAGGATGTGACCTTGGGCCAGTTTTAGAGCCTCAGTTTCCCCACTTTAGTAATGGGGACGATGTTAATAAGTACCTTGCTGGCTCTGAAGGCTGGTGTTACCCCAGGTAAGGTGCCAACGGTAGTCTTTGTACTGAGATGCTGTGCAAAGGTGGCTTCATGCCCTGGAGCCTTCAGAGAGGAAGTAAGAATGTGCCAGGGCCTGCCCTGTAGTCCCTCCCCACTAGGATAGGACAGGGCTGAGGCTGCTGTCCGTGTATGGTGTGGCTACAGGAGTGGGCGCACATAGGGGAGGGCAGATTACAGATGGGCTGACCTCTGTAGGGTTCTCTTTCTGGAGGTGAGGTGGGCTGTGGAAGGACTGCTACACTCTTGTCTCAGCCACTGACTGGTGGCATCCCCACCCCTAGCTGGCCTCAGCAGGATTCAGGTGTAGGTCTTGCAGTCTGGGAGGCCAGCTGGTGCCTCCCCCACTCAGGCCTGTGCTGGGGGTTCCCTGGCCATGTCAGGAGCCTCAGGAGTGTTAGTGCATGGTCTCTGCTTTTTTGTCACATTTGTGATTAATTCATTTTGTGGGGTCAATATTAGTTTGTAGTTTTCTTTAGAATAACAGGTAACTTTGTATTCAACTAATTTTTGCTGACATTAAAAGTAATGTTTTTTAAAAAACACTGAATGTGGTTAGTTAATTTGAAATATGTGGTGCCTACCACAACATTCTGAAGACCTGGGACCAAAAGAGGAGAGAATTTGGGTGCTGAGGCCCTGCCAGGCTGGCCTGAGTGTATTGGGGCCTCTGCTGGGAGGAGGGTGGATCCTCTGGTCCCTTCTGATCCCAGCAGGCGTCTTGATCTCCCACCTCCAGGGAGCAGCATGGGGGTGGGCAACGCTATACTGAGTGAGAATCCCCAGGTCCCCCCTTCCTGGAGATGGAGACCTGTTGCATTAGAAGAGGAATTTGGACCAGGCAGGATCAAGCTGTGCCTTGGTTCAGTGGCCAGATAGCCAATGGAGGAGAATCAGCTGTCCATGCTTGTCAGAAGCAGCAGTACCTCTCACCTTGGTGTGTGTGTGAGCTTACTAGGTGTGAGGGCAGTGATTCAGGAAGTGGGTGTGAGTCTCCGGTCCTTAGAGGTGAGCTGAGGGGCTCTCTCACTTTCTCTTCTTCTCTGCAGTATGACAATCTCCTGAGCCAGTTTGGCTGCATGCAAGTGTCATCGTCTTCCTCCTCCCACTCCTTGTCTGCCCTGGATGCAAGTCTGCCCCAGAGGTCAGGCAGCAACATAGAACAGTACATCCACGATTTGGACACTAATTCTTTTGAACTGGACTTACAGTTTTCTGAAGAAGAGAAGAGGCTATTATTGGAGAAGCAGGCTGGTGGAAACCCTTGGTAAGAATTTACGGACATAAGCAATACTCCATGTAGAAATGCTCTGTGAACATGTGGGAATAGGAGACCTGGGAGCAGCTGCTGGGAACACGGCAAGACCTGAGGTGGGCACCTTTGCCTTGTCATGGCCTCCTACTGCCACCTCGGATACCTGGCAAAGGCAGACCCTCAAGAGTACATTTGGAAATGGGCGCTTCAGAGGCCTTGAGCCTGGGGGAAGGAAGGGGGAATGGGTGCTTCAGATGCTGTGACAGGCAATTGGATGTCTCTATGGTAGGTGTAGATTCACTGGAGTTTAAATAATTGCTGTCCTGTGCTCAGACATTTGGGTTTTTCTGAGGTTTTACTGTTATAGATCATCTTTTGCCCTTGGCTTTTCCTACTTGTCTGATTATTCCTTTTAGGGAGAATCCTGGGGTGTTTTGAGGGTGTGCATACTTTTTTTAAAAAGCCAGCAATCGGACGGTGCCTATGGCTCAAAGAAGTAGGGCGCTGGCCCCTTATGCCAGAGGTGGCGGGTTCAAACTCAGCCCCGGCCAAAAACTGCAAAAAAAAAAAAAAAAAAATCCAGCAATTATACTGGCGGTTCCAGAAATCTGAGTTTCTGAGAAGTCTTGCCTACCCTTGAGTATTTTGATGCTGTAAAAATGGGCTCATGTGAATTTTCATTTTTATTCTAATTGAGGGCATCTGTGTTCATTGGCCATTCATTTGTATTTTTTGAGGTACTGTGTTTCCTCTGACTATATTTTTCTTGTATGTTTTGCATCTTTTTTTCTCTTTTTGCAGTTTTTGGCCAGGGCTGGGTTTGAATCTGCCACCTCCGGCATATGGGTCTGGCACCCTACTCCTTTGAGCCACAGGCACTGCCCTGTTTTGCATCGTTTTCAAATTAATATTTAAGAGCCATATATGTTGTGTGTATATATATTTTTGTTTATTTGTTTTGAGACAGAGCCTCAAGCTATTCCCCTGGGTAGAGTGCCATGGCACCACAGCTCACAGCAACCTCCAACTTCTGGGCTCAAGCGATTCTTCTGCCTCTGCCTCCCAAGTAGTTGGGAACACAGGTGCCCGCCACAACACCTGGGTATTTTTTTTTTTGGTTGCAGCCATCGTTGTTTGGCGGCCCCAGGCTGGATTTGAACCCACCACCTTAGGTGTATGTGGCTGGCGCCTCAGCCACTTGAGCCACAGGCACCAAGCCTGTTATATATTTTGTAAACATTTTTTTCTTCAGTTTCTTTGTTTAGTTTGTGGATGCTATGTTTTATATAGAAGTGGCAAATTCTTACAAAGTCTTGTCCCTATGTTTATTTCATGTTTTCATCTTAGTCTATTGAGAAAATCATCTGATCCAGTATTTTTACCTGCATTTTCTTCAGATATCTTTTTGCTTTTACCTGTTTTGTGGGCAGAGAGAAGCCTGGGGCAGTTAGGGAGATAGGAAGGAGTGTTGGGATCCTGGGAGGGAAGGATAAGGTGATAGCAGGTTTGAGGGTGTGGTTGGGCAGGAGAGAGGACACATGTGACTTAGGAATCTTCTGTGGGGAGGAGTGAGAGAAAGGTGAGCTCTTATACATGCCAGCTGGGGGTGAGACTGTGGTTCTGTGCCACCGGATGGTCTCTCTTCTAGAATAGCTGAGCATAACTATTGGCCAGTAGAAACAATCTACAATTCTAGCATTTAAACTTATCCTTAAACTCACTATTTCCTACAGTGTTACTGCTAGGGATATTAATATGTACTAAGCAGGAAGAAAGGATTTTTAATCAAAACAATTTGAGCAATCTTGGGCAGGCAGCTTCGAGCAGGTGTGTGTAGTGTGTGTACCAATTGTGCAGAAACTTTTAGGCGCTTGTGTGCTGGGCTGTCCAAGAACAGTCTGGTCTTTGTCCTCTCCATGGTCTTGGCCAAGAGTGCTTTCTCTGAAGAACCCCCAGAAGCACTGTCCACGGGTATGTATGCATTTCAGCTGTTATTGGCTCTCCAGAAGGCCCCCGTGTGTCTTTGCTTGGATGCTAGGCAGGACCCCAGGTAAGGCTGGCTATAGGCCAAGTCACACATCCTCCTGCCTGCTTCCTTTGTGTTCAGAGTTGTCCTCCGTCTGCCTTAGATTTCAGGCCATTTTGGACACTGATGACTGCCAAGAGCTTGAGAGATCTTTTATTTGGTCAATGGGAGATCCATCAGCACTCTATGCCTGAGAACCATGGTCTCACCAGGCAAGGTAGCTCATGTTTGCAGTCCTAGCAGTTTGGGAGGCTGAGGTAGGAGGATGCTTGAGCCCAGGAGTGGGAGGTTGCAGTGAGCTATAATCACAGCAATGCACTGTAGCCTGATAAATAGAGCAAGATCCTGTCTCTAAAATAAAAAAAAATACATTTTATCTGAAACTCTTACAATAAAGTAAACTGTTATTTTATTTTCTCCTAAAATAAAATTTACAGTATTTTTTGTATTTATGCATGGATCATTGACATAAAAAGGGAGAAGGCTTGCCTTCTCAGCCCATTGTGGCACTTAGTCTAGACTCAGGGGTCCTCAAACTTTTTGAACAGGGGACCAGTTCACTGTCTCTCAGACCGTTGGAGGGCCGGACTGAGGGCCCTGGGACGAGTTGGCTGCTAAACAGGATAGGCAGCGGCAGCAAAAACATCTGGCGGGCCTAATAAATGTCCTAGGCAGGCCGCATGTGGCCCACGGGCCGTAGTTTGAGGATGCCTGGTTGCTAAAAAGCAGCATGACATGCCAGAGAGCCCTCCCTTGTGGAAGGGAGGAGCTGCTCCAGAGAAACTGGGTAAAGCTGCAAATATAAAAGAAAATTAGGACAGAAGCTGCCTTTCCCTATGCTGTACAGACCTTCAGACTGCCTGTTTGTTTCTGTGAACAGACATTTTCACAATTATTGCGATACCGGTTAAGTTGCAGCATTACTTTGAGGCCTATCGTGCAGAGTCTTAAAGATAAAACAATTTTTAAATTTAAAAGGAACATTTTAAACACATATGTGATAAGCTCTTTATTTGTATTTTATTTTATTTTATTTTTGGAGGCAGAGCCTCACTTTGTCACCCTTGTAGAATGCTGTGGCATCATAGCTCACAGCAACTTCCAACTCTTGGGCTCAAGCACTTCTCTTGCCTCAGCCTCTCAAGTAGCTGGGACTACAGGTACCCGCCACAATGCCTGACTGTTTTTAGAGACAGGATCTCGCTCTTGCTCAGGCAGGTCTCGAACCTGTGAGCTCAGGGCAATCCACCCTCCTTAGCCTCCTAGAGTGCTAGGATTATAGGCATGAGCCACCATGCCCAGCTGTTACAGCCTTTTTTTTTTTT